TGATTTTTTTTTCACTTGGACATTTTCAACTTGAAGTTATTTTTTGTTTGTGTCAAGTAGCCTACAGTCTTTTGTCTAATAAACTATTTTCAGCTCTGCATGCAGGTCCTCCCTCTTGTTTCACACCAGCATGATCTAATCTTAATGTGAGGCCAAGCCCACTTAAAGCAGACAACTCCAGCTGCACTGATTCACCCTTGACATGTGTCATTTTCACTTTCACTGTAATCACCTTACAAACAAATGACATTAAATAATAGAAACCAGTGCCTTTATTTGCTGTTATTGCAGACAGTACCAGGCTTCTATTTGAGGACTCTTATGGTGCAATATTGTGCTGTCAGAATGAGACTGCAGCTCAGTGCAGCAGAGTGTTTAGATGCTCGCAGCTTTTTACAAATGCTATAATTAGATAAACTGGAGCAAACTGCACGGAGATGACCTGTGATGTAGCTCAAAAAAACTTGTTAGAGTTATACAGAACATGTGGCTGCTGCATGTTCTTTCTTATCACTCCTGGTGTACAAGTGTTCGCAGGTGACTGCCCCAGTTAGTATGGTAAATGAAAACAAATCAAACACATATAAAATATTGTGGTAGAAATAACAAAAGATGCAGTGAATCAGACAAGGATAGTTGTCAATTAATTACATTGGAAGTATGTACAATATATACACAATATAATAATAATAATAATAATAATAATAATAATAATAATAATAATAATAAATAAATAAAATATATTTTATTTTGAGCGCACTGTACATAAAAAAAAGTGCTACGCAAGTAATTAAAGATAGCTATATAAACTGAAATCTGCTGACGTTGCAAAAAAGGGTTGTATGTAAATGATGCCTTACTGACCTGCTCTGCATGAAAGAAACATGGAATGGCAAATAACTGAAAATTTAATCCCTCATTTGGCCATGATCCTGATCAGAGCAATGGATTAAAACAGAGTGGCGACACTCCCATAGGCATACGCTGTACAGCCCGGCGGACCCCACTTCCGTGTTATGGAACGCTTATTAGTTCCAACATGACCGCCTGTCACGTCGGACGCCGTTCGCTTCTATGGCCACAAGGCAAGCACTCACCAAGGTTAAATGATAAAATATCAACAAGTTTAATGCCAATACGTGTGTTATTGATATCGAGGGGACCCCTTTATATGTAAAAATGTATATCCCAAATGTAATTACGTTTTTATAGTCAGGAATTGGGATCGATTTTTTAGCCACGGTTTGCTCCCACACTCCCCGATGTAAAATATTGTATCAACGAATGTAATGCCAATACGTGTGCAAATGGTATCGAGGGACCCCTTTATATGTAAAATGATTTTAATTTTAGTATGCTATATTTTAGTATACGTTTTTTTAGTAAGGAATTGGGATCGATTTGTTAGCCACGGCCTGCTAGCTGGACGTCGTCAGCTGTAGAGGCCTGCCAAAATCTATTGTGTGACTGAGTTATGAATCACAGATAAATCATCATCATCAATCATATGTTGAGATGGTTACTTATGGGCTTTATTTTAGATTTCAGCCTTTATCAGTTCCCGATGTTATATGCAATTTATTCCTTTTAGACTAACATAAGTGCTATGTAATTTGATTTCTGCTTATGGGATGATAGAGTTAAGGGATTGCTACTTTTTAAATCCTGTCAGCATTTAAGGCGTATGTTTAACATGGAAAAATGTTGTGCAGGCCATGCTGCAAGACCAAAACATTGCAAAATTGTTTAAACAGCTTGTAACACCTGTTACTTACCACTTTATTGTATTATTTTCTCTTATTAAAAAGTAACACGTGTTACCAAACTTGTCTTATTTCACTTTTATTTGTCATCCAGTCGCTAAATATACGTACGTGACTTTGACGTGTACACAGTAATCCAATAAGAGTTGCAAATGTTGATTTTTTACGGTTAATTTTAATATTTACCTCTTAAATGCGCGCTCACTGCAGTCTGCCCCGTTGAAGAGCATGGACAGCGCAGGCTGCGTTTGGAACTATGGAGGGGTACATGAACCACGTGACCGCTCCGGCGGCGAGATCTGAAGTTGTCGCCACTCTGTTTAATCCATTGCTCTGATCCTGATCATACAGAGGTCTACATACAGATACTTAGGTGCAACCTAAATATGTTTCTCAATTAGTAGTTGTAGTATCATTCCTTTTTGGCAATGTGACGGAGTGCCGTTAAACACGCGTCATTCCCTAACAATGCGGGTCTCTCGTGGCCTGAGAGTGCCGGTGCCGGGAGTGCGCATTAATCGCGGAGCCAAGCTCCATCAAACTGTTTCCAAGCACCTGTGTCTCGCAGTTCTGCAGTCCCACCAACCATTTCCCATTTTATCTGGATTCTTTACTCCCCATTGTAAGCATTTGAGAGAGCACACTTAACAACTACACGCCACACACAAACACCCACTTACCTGCTGCCATCTTCCAAGCCAAAACGGGGCACTTCCTGATCCATCAGTAAATAGCGCATGGTGGCGCTTTGGGGGGGTCATGTGACTGCCGGACCATACCATTATAGTTTATTAGTGATATTTTGTCTGAGTTAATGTGTTTTCAAGGGGTAAAGTCATAGCTGTATGGAGGGCTGTTAGTACCATTTTGTCCATGGTGAAATATCTGATTTATTAAGGAGTTTGTGTTGTACTTTGCATATGGTATCTTAAACCCCTTTAATTTGGCAAGGGGGGTCTCCTAGAGTCTGGAGTTGGGTGCAAGGAAAGTAACTGCTGAACTGATTTTTATTTTTTTTTTGCATTGCCGGCTATAGATAAATTTCACCATCACTGTATTTTGACTACGCAAGTCTGGTCCACTGTTTTTGATTGTTTGAGAGAGACCCCTGTGACTCTATTTGAGCTGCAGGTTTGCCTTTGCCTCACGGGCAAAACACCGATCGGCAGATCTCATTCTATCACTCCCAGGGAAACACACAAGATCTCGTGAGATCTCGTCCAGTCTCGCGACAAATAGCGGTAAACTTGCGAATGCTTTTTCTCCTATGGCGTCGGCGGTTCGGATCCAGTGGGCGCTGTTTGCTTGCATATCTGATCCACCTGCCAGTCCGGAACCGAGCGGAGCCATTCTGGATCCAGTGGGATTCCCGGGTCAGCACCCCCAGCATCCCCCTGCAGGCTCCAATACTAAAGTATTATCTCATCACTCCTAAATTTATGCAAGTAGTGATTTTTCACTTCTATAACGTCCTCATTTTTTTTTTTTTTTTGTCATTGTTGTTACTGTGGGGTGTTACCAAAGTCAGTGATCTTCTCAATGAATCCATGGTTGAAATAGGTGTAGCTAGTATACTGCACACTTCTTTTAAGTCCTGTTGTGCCCAAATGTCACAGTCACAATTCACCTTGTTCCCCCACATTCGGGGAATGGTATAAATGCTAATCCTGAAGAGGTAAACAGAGGAGTTGCACAGAGGTTAGAGTCTTGGCTCAAGGATATAAACACTATCCATTGCAACACATGAAGCATTGACAGCTCACCTGACCTTAAGAGGTCATGTAACCTTGAGACAATGTCCAGTAGGTTCCCAGATGGTCCCAGTGTTATCCATCCCTGCAAACACCGAACAATGAGTTGTAAAACGAACACCGTGTTCCCAGCAGGCCGCCATGATAACAACAGTTCCAATTATTTCTTCTTTCTGGTCCCCAGCAGCTCAGTTTTTGTTCTTGGAAATGTTTTATGCAGTTTGAAAGTCTTCACTCTTCACTTCCTGTGCATAAACCAGCCCACCAGCTCTGAACTTCACACGATACGAGCGCTGCGAGGCCTCACCCTCCTCAACTAATTGAGATGTCTGCAAATCCTGATAGAGTCGTGTCCCCCCCTCCAACCCAAACTCCTGGGATCCTTGAGGGAAATCCTGTAAGTGTATTACAGCAACTAAGCAGCCTTTTAAGTTGCAGACGAACACAGCCGGTGGCACTCCAGGCATTTTTTTGATTTTCATAGCAGCCTGCCGCAGGCTCTCACGGCAATTGGTCCCGTAAAAATCCCTGCTATCCCTGAAATAAGCTCCTCAGGGAGAAAGAGAGAGAGAACTGATAAAGAGGGGAGGAAGAGAGGGAAGGGAAACTTTGATAAAAAGAGAATTGGGTTACGAGACCTCCTGTATGTATACAAACTGTTTTGTCCTTGAAGTAACACCTATGGCCAGACTGTTTGACTGGGGTGGCTTAACTGGGGCTCAGAGTACGGAGGGTAGACAGGGTGGATGGATATGGTGTTTGCTCCAAACCTAGGAGGATTATCTTCACTAATCATGTATACTCTCACTTCTGTGACTAAATCCAAAAATGTCATATTCTTGTGTCATTTTTGCTGTAATACTGTAGGTAACTTAACAAAACGACCCCATTACATCAGCTGAACTTTATTCTTTACTTTTGACTAAAGTCACAAACTGGCTACAGCTTTTTTGACCTGTTTTATTTGTTTTATATCTTATCTCTTTATTTCTCTATTTTTTACCTAATTTCTGGGTTAACTTCCGACCATATGGTTCAAAATTTCAAGATTTTTACACATTGTATTCCTCACAGTTTGTGCCTTTTTTTTTATAAATCTGTTGATTTATAACTTTTTCACAATGTTATAAATTCATTTGACTGTTATTATATTGTATATTGTAACTATTATTTTATTTTAAATTACTAATAACAGAAAATGCTCCACAATAAAATGCAAGATGCTAACTGCCTGTTAAAACACAACCTAAATAGCTGATTTTAGAACAGGTTTCACCGCTAATAAGGCAAATAGCCAATCATGGTTGAGGATTTCAGGGCGCCATTCCCGGCTGTGATTAAATGCGATATTCTCCATAATGTTCAACTGCAAAAGTATCCTCTGAATACCAACATTTAAAACACACACACAAAAAAATATAATTTCATATTAAAAAAATTATCAAGCTTTACAAAACTGCATTTGGGTGATGGAAACAAGGTTGATGACAGACTGTGGCTCCTAAATCCACTTTATTTAACTTTATATGTTTATCAGCCAGCAGGATGGAGGATTTCTTACGCTAGGGATCAAAACAATAAAGAATCAGGGGCAGAATGATGGAGAGAGCAGAGGTTGATTGAAGTCTGTTCCCTGCATGTGAGTCAGACCATAGGGCTTGCTGCCATATGCACCACTATCTCCCCTCAGCGTCCAGGTAGCTGGAGGTGGCAGCTCCTCCGCCCCCGAGCGCCGTGCTGTCTGATCAGCTTCCAGACTCCCACTCACCCTCCAGGAGCGACGAGTCAGCCTCCGCCACCGAGCCCGATTTAGCCGACACTAACGTGGAGGGGGAGAGAGCTGGCGGTCCTCAGCAGCTTTCAAAGGCTCCATCAAAGGCTGGATGACAACCTGAAAGCCACTAAAAGGAGAGAGAGTGAGTGAGTGAGTGTGCAGATAGTGGGAGACGAGTGATGTTTGAATGCGTGGAAGAGTCAGAGATGGAAAAGTGGAGGATCGGAGACTGTGGAGAACAGTGGGCGAGAGACAGGGACAGAGAGGATGACAATCCGAGAACAAAAGTTCCACTAATGTACTTTTTCAAAACAGCAAAATGATATTTCAAATAGTTTTTAACTTATTCACCTGATGGAAAAATGTCTGCCCGTTTATCAGAAATTTAACAACCACTGACTTTAAAACTCACATTCATCTTAACATCTTAATTCTGAGTAAAACCTTTTCGTTTTTTATTGTGCAGAAGATAACAGCAACACCAGTTTAAGATCCTTTCCCCCATAACTTTGCTGTTAGCATTTACATCTCAGCCAAACAGTCCTGTAACTCTGCCAAGACTCATACTGTGTTTTGGTTTTTTGTTGTTGCTTCATTTCTGTTTTATTAAAAAAATCACCATGTTGTTTTCTAATTCTTATCACAAAGTAACATATCTGTCACATTTTAAACAGTAGGAGGTTGACTCATTATCAGTGCCATAATCCCTTTTTACAGGTAGATTTGAAGCATGTATAATGTGCGTGATCAGGTTGACCCTTGTGTGAACTTTGCTATTCAGATTTAACAGCTGTGGCCTTTTGACCAATCAGAGTCAAGTGTTTTACACAGGTGGGTGACTGGTAAGAAAGCCAGGAAATCAATGATAATGCCTAGTATTTCACAAAATGTGAAAGCGTATGAATTCTATGACATTAAGTGATTTACATGTAAGCGCTCTTGCTGTAGAAAATTATTTTAGTAGTGGTGTTACCGCCGAGATAATCAGAGGGGTCCAATTATGCATCTCAGAGCTACAATCATACAAGTTAAAAACGTTTCCTTTGAGCTGCTCAATGATTCATCCTGCAGGTTCTCATGATTACGCTTCCTAACTGGTTGGAAGAAGAAGTCTTCTAAAATTTCCCAAGCTCTTTGCACCCTTCCTCCTTAAGACAACATTCAGACACAGGGCCACATTAGCATAGCATCTCTGCCCATTCGGCCCACTTCATGGATAATAAAGTTAGAAACTGACAGGCTACAGATCCTCCACAGCAACTGAATTTTTGATGGTTTTTCCTGCAGCTGAATCCAAACCTTTGCTTGAAAGAGGACAGCTAAATATACAAAAAAATGTGACATTGAGACGTGGTCTTCCTTGAGCTGTGTCACCCCGCTGCACTCGGTGATCGACTCATCAAACAAACAAACAAAAAAAAAGTACAAACAAGCGACTGCTGGAGGAGAGGGGTGAGTTGTGTTTAGTCTCTTTGCTAAAGAAATCAGGCAAAACTAAAAAAGATGTTTGATGGCTAGTACTATGGCTGGGACCCTTTATGTTCTGTTGATGAAGTTAGGTGCTGTTCTGAGCATTATTTGTGGCTATAGTGGCTTTTTGGTTGAGGTGTGGACATGGAGTGGTAGAATGCTGTGTATTGCTATTGTGTGGTTGTTACTAAAGTTGGTATAACTAGAGAAGCAAGTGGTCTGCAACATTCATCTCTCGATGGGGTGTCTAACTCGGTGTTACGGTGGGTTTGACCCCAACTTAATTTTACACCGGAATATCCCTTGAACCTCTAATCCAAACCGGCACCCTCCACACTCTGAACCTCAAAAGTTCAGGAGTCAAACATCTTGACACCTTGATTCAAAGCTCAATATGAACAAAAACTTGAATAAAACTTTCAGAAACATTAACCTTCTTGTAAATAGTAATCTATGTATAGTGTGGACTCAGTGAAAGAAGTTACACATTTGCCCACCCAATGAACAAATCCTGTTTATATGGGCTACAGCCAGCATCTCTGTCTGGCTTCTGCTGAAATCCCTGTCTCCAACTTGAAAAGAGAAACACAGACAATACTGTTTTAGCCTGAGTACATCCTGCTCTGTGAAGGTTCAGAACAGAATGGGGCCAAAAAAAGGATTAAAGTCAGGCAGCTATACTGCTCCATGTCTGCAGCTAAAAGGAGATGGCATTACAGACATACTGGCATGAGAGCTGTTTGCTAAAGGGATAAAGTCGTTGCCTTTTAGTCACTGACAAACATGACGAGTGGAGCGTAGGACCCTGTAGGTTGGCAGACTATCAAACCAGCGTCCATTCTCTCCTGACACGTACATTTGTTCGCCACCTCTCACGGATTTAGCAGCACTGAATACAATCTGAGTGTGGGCTAGGACGAATGCACCAATCCACCGCCTTTTTAACATCCATAATGAACACACTGAAGGGAGTTTGTCAGCGGTCCAAACCAGACGCTTGTGTCATTTTGGCGTGTAAATCAAAAGCTGGCGGGGAGAGGCTTCACCTATGAGGGCGTCTGGTTGCAGGATTCTTTGATGTCCTTGGCTCTTTAGTGGCTGGCAGACTGCACTGGAGACACTTCAGACATTTGGATGCCATCTGATGTGCGCAGGAACCTGCAGATTTCACCTTTTGTTCAATGTAAAGACACGTGTTCTTGTTTAAGGAGGATTTTTGTTTTCTAAACACGAGTCTCACCTAAAGGTGTGTGACCCCCTGTGGAAAAGTTGATCCAACTTTTATGTAGATGGGCTTTCGCCTGACTGCTCTGACTCAAAGTCAGAATACTCTCTGGGATCAAGGTTTCGAAATATTAACAATCAATTATCAATAACTTGTACAAAGGAAACATATTTTAAATTAAGCACCTTTCTCTTTTTTTCCACCCCCTCTCTGTCTGCGTCATTAACTTGAATTATCATGTCCCACCAGAGTCACTAATACAGTCTTTTATGGGTGTCCCTGAGCTCCATCATGCCATAGGTTCCCCTGGATTTCTGCTGCAGACATCCCGCTGCTGTGGAACTGCCTGCTTTTTAGCCGCTTCAACAATGTGCACCACTCTTAATAGTTTTGACACTACAAGGCCAGTGTTAACTTATTAGCATCAATCTCTCTATTTATATTACTATTATGAATCTCACTTTATATATGAAAAATCAGCACACCAATGAAACCATAGTCATCATTTTCGTTGATAAATGTCAAATCTTCACATTATTGTTAAAAAAGTAAATTATTGCAGTTTTCTCACTTAAGGTCATTACACACTGGCAAATTAATGAAGCGAATTTGTGGAGCGAATAATTTGCTTTTTTTTTTAAAACCTCATAAAGTCAATCAAAGCTTCCACACCAGCCACAAACTTCCACAGAGCGAAATAACAACTGTAATTTCTTCGCCCCTGTAGCGAATCTTGTGAATATGTGCAGGCGAATATATAATTTATATAATGCTATATAAATCTATAGCCTAATATAAATCTTACCTCAGACATGTGGCAAACCATTGCTCAGGATCAATCAGCTTTCTGTAATTTGTCATCTCCCTCTGCAAAGGTGGAGTCAGCTGATTGAGCAGTTCTTGTAATTGTCCAAGGGACATCCAGAAGTATTGTCGGAATTTCTCGGGATACAATTTAAGCTCCTGGATCGTTGTGTGGAGCTCCCCCATTTCCTGTCACAAGGTCAATATTGGATGTGCCTAGACACTTAGATTCTTCTTTTTCTTTTTGCTATTTAATAGGCTTACAATCATGACCAGGTCATCATCACTTGAAGATGTAGATGCCATTGTTTCTCCTTCTTCTCTCTTCCCCCCGTTCTCCCGTGGCGTATTTTTATGCGAATATACTAATTTTATTTGCGTCGCACCAGATGGGTAGAGGAAAAGGTATGGAACGACGTTTAGGATCAGGAAATTTAAATGGTGACACCACACTGTCCCTTGAAACACCAGTCTTAACTTTAAAAAGTCCTCTTAATGTGAATCTCCCTCTGACGGTCTAACTCTTTTACAAAAGAAATAAATCACAGTTTATTGTGAGCCGCAGTCACCAAGTTGTTTTGCACTCCTTTATTTGTCTCTATTTCCACCCTTCACTCTGCAGACGAGCCTCTCTTTTGTTCATCACCTGTTGTCTTCTTCTCGTCCTCTGTCTGCTGAGCATCCTGGCCGACCTCCAGGATGTCACCTCCCTCCATCATCTCTGATGTGCCACCTGTCATCCATAAACAGATTTCAATGTCTAATCAAGACCATTCACTGTCTCTCCCATGCCTCCACACTTTCAAAGCCTCTTTTCTGCTCCCACTGTGAGTTTTCACGGAGCTCCACACACTCATTAACAGCCCTTGAGTGAGAGCTGGAAACTCAGCGGATCGGGTCAAAGCGTTTTGAGCAGAGACGACAGCTCCCTCGCTCTCTCTCTCGCCGGTTTTCAGTGCGGTTGCCCTCAAGGTTAGCAGATTAGCATAGAACATCAGATGTGGGTATTCAGAGGCGGCCAGGAGGCGGCTCAGGTCCCAGCTCATGCATACACTGCACAAGTGCTATCAACGTGCATGCTGGTTATCTGCCCGACAAAAAAAACAGGTTATGTTGTGTCAGGTCATGTCATGTTTTGTCATGAAGTTATCACATCATGAGACTTTGTGTAGCTGTGGAGGAGAATCACAGTCTGTGTGGTGTCACTCAGTCTCATACTGAATAATTTTAGATACTCAATTCTTTGCAATTCTAAACATGAAGAAGAAGAAGAAGAAGAAAATAAATCCTTTCTTTGGCTGAATTGAAACCTTTAGTTGGATGAATTTAGATGACCTTTTTTTCCATTGTGAAAGCTGCTGACACTAAACATTGAACTCTTTTCTGCTGCCGTTTATATTCCTCGCAGGTACAGTAGTTACATGTTAAAATGCTTAATCAATTATTAATCATATTTTTGTGACAAAATACAATTTGTGGATGAGGTCGAGTAAGCCAAAACAGGGTCGAATAAACAATGTCACTGCTAAACAGCCTTCATGAAAAGAGACTCAAATGCCAGTAAAATAATGCAAGAATAGGTGGTTCTCTTAAAACTGAAGGCTGAGTACTGAAAAAAGAGGGTTATAAAGGTCTATCACAGAAAAATTGGAGAAAGGAATAACCATGATAAAGCTCCTTGTTTATTTCTGTCCAGCTTGAAATAAAGAAATAATTATAATAAAGGAATTCTGAAATAAAGGAAGGATACCTTTGGATAAAAACATGCAAACCTCCTTAAAAATTATAAAAATGGGAAAGAAAATTAGTGAGATAAAATTAAACAAAGAAGCAGAGTGATAACTACAGTAATAACTTTAGTTTTAGTAGAAATAGGACAGACCATAATAGCAGCAGTGGGAGTCAGGCTGGTCCATGGCGGTAGGGGGTCTGGAACAAGAATCCATGAGAACCTGCAAGACGCAACTCCGGGGATTATATATATAAATGTGTAGGCAACACATGGAGAGAGGAGGAGAGAGACGGAGATGAGAGGAAAAAGAAAGACTCAAACAGACCGAGCGAGAAGGGCAGAAGCCTGCTGTGTCGAGCCCCATTAGTGGATTGAGCCTGAAGCTGGATAACTAGTAGCTGTTCTGAGTCCGGGCCAGCTCTTACCTAAAGAGAGGCCTATAATGGTCTGGGCCTGTATCAGCAAGTCTTGAGGTCAGTCCTAGCCAGAGTCAGCCGAAACCGGGGGCCTTTAGCAACATAACCGAGAGCTGGTCCAAGCCTTAATGGGTCTTGATATAAACTAAAGCTTATGAGTTACAGCAAACTTGTAGCAGTACATAGAGATGCTGGTCCAAGTCTGGAACCACGTTTCTTCAGCAGCCATCTTCTTGTGATGTCACTCTCAGGGTGGGAAACTCATTTCTTGCTATTGTGTATTACTACGATGTTTCAGCTCCTAAATCGTACAGACACCAATGTTCAGACTAACTGTGAATGTTTCACGGCCCACTGATTGATGAGCAGACACACAGACTAAAACGGAGATGATAAACAGAGAGAGATTGTATTTGGTAGCCCTTCAGTTTACATCAAATCAGCCAACATTAGCCTGAGTTAGCCCTTTTTGCTGGCACAAGCCTAAAGTAGTCTATGCCTATAAAAAAAGACAGCTGGTCCAAACCAGAGTCAGGCCAAACTACAGACAAATGCCTATCACAGTCCAGGTTTGAGGCAGCATAACAAGGGGCAGGTCTAAGTCTGAGTCAGCTTTGATCATAAACCTAAGCCTTTGATAGCCTAGATCTATGGCAGAATGACCTGGGGTCTGTCCTGGCCTAAACAAGCCCTAACTATAACTGAAGGTCCATAGCAGTCTATGACTGAGGCAGCATGACCAGGGCCTGGTCCAAGCCTGAACCAACCCAAACTGTTGGCACAAGCCTATAGTAGTCTTGGTCTATAGTAGCATAACAAAGAGCTCATTCATGCCTGAACTGGTCTTACCTTCAAGTATAAGACTATAGCATGATTGGGGGCTGATCCAAGCCTGAGTCTGCTTTAACTATAGACCTAAGTCTAGGCCTGTAACAGTCAAAGCCTGAAGCAGCAAAACAAAGAACAAGTCCAAGCCTGACTCAACCTGACCTTGTAAGCCAAAGTCTACATCAGTCTAAGTCTGTAGCAGTATGACAGGGAGCTGGTCCAAGCCTTAGCCAGTCTTAACTTTGAACATAAGCCTATGGCAGCATGACTTAGGACTGGTCCAAGTTTGCATGAATGGACTCCTGAGATTAATACAAAAACATACCATGCTTAGATGTATATGTAGTTTAAGCATTAATTTGTCTGGTTTGATGGATTGTAATAAATAACCTTATGATTGTTCCAATATCTGGACAATGTAAAACTATTATTCTAAATTAAAAATTAGTGAGCAATGACCTAAATTTGGGCCTTAATCTAGTGATGGGGCCTGCGTAATGCTAGGGGGGATTTGTTGTCGGAGAACAAACCTACGGTAGCTTTAGTATCTCAGTATAGCATACCTCCAAGTGTCATAGCCTTCATACTGCATTAAACTTGTAATTAAGTAGAGAAATATATTATCAGTGTCATGCAGAAGTGAACCAGCGCTGGCAAATATCCAAGACAGAATAATGAGTCCCCATCAACCCTTGTTTGCAACGTGTGATTGAGAGCACCATGAAAAGTCAGGAGTTAATAAACCTGCTTACCCTCAGCAACTTTGTCAGGAGCACTGAGCGTAGGAGAACAGGTGCAGCAGACATTAGGACTCATAACAGGCAATGATGATCAGCCCCTCGGAGGGGGAGGAGGCAGTAAAACAATGGGCAGAGAGGAAATGAGAGGGAAGATCAATAACCAGGCAGGAGAGAGGATTTGGGGGGAGGTTGGGGGGGGGGTCCCCTTGCTGACAGTAGTCATTACTATGAAGTGCCAACAGAAGCCACGGCTGCCGGAAGCCTAATCTGGGCAATTTACACCCCTGTCAGGTCTGTACAGGTTCCAACGAATCAGACGACGCAGAAGTACCCACCTGACAC